GCAGCTTGCTTCATCTCTGTGAATGGTCTCATAATCGCATCGTCTGTCCTCTTGTCGAGACCTTCGAGCGTCTTATCGGATCGTAGTTGTTCCCAAACCTGTCACCACCGACTAGGCCTGCTCCCAAGGCGTCTTCTTCCTCATCCGACCTTGTTGACATGATCTCGGAAATGGCGTATACTTTGAAGTTCCGCTGGCTTAACATGACCGTGGACATCATCGAACCTCGCCGGATGAGCACTAACAGCCTCCAGATCGAGCCGTGGTAGCAGTCCTGCATCGTCTGGGAGTACGTGGAAGTCGTGGCTCAAACTGAATAGCAACAAATCACACCACCAGGATTGGTGGATGATGAAGACCACCCATAAAGACTCACACGTTCTCAACCTCTTCAGCTCTCTCTATAGCTTGTCTGAATCGGAGCATGTCTAGGTTGAGATGCCATGGAATGCATCTGGCCAACCGCACAATGCCTTTCAAATACTCCACTGAGCTCTTTACTTCTTTGGTTCAGGGCTCTGCCACAAATGCTCGGCGTGAGTCCCATCAGCCCGTGTTGCGTCTGCGACTGACTTCGCCATATGCCGCATCTCTTTAATCATAGCAGCAGCATTTGTGGCGTGCACCGTATGGGGATCGGGCTCTAAAAGAAAGCCTGCTCTATCCCATTATGCGATGTAGACCGGAGGACATTTCCAAGCATCCGATCTTAGCCCTCGAGGTCGCCCTTACTGTGAGCTTGCCATGGTCCATGATGTGTGTTCAGGTCTTCGCCATCCTTAGCATAGAAGGGCCAAGGGCCTCCGAACCCTATCTGGACTGTAGCCATGCTAGCTGGGCCCTCCGATGAGATGACCGGCGTGTACGGTTTCAACTCTACTTGTCCACGAGAGTCTATCTCTGTTGAGCTATGAACACTCTTCAACACATGATTGAGGAACGCCATAGATCTATTCAAGCCACGAAATGGTATGCTTCACACAATGAGCGGTGCATCAATCATCAGCGTCGAGATTCCGGTTTCCTATCAAATAGTGTATGCGCTCCCCGAACTGTCGATAACTCGAGACCATAACATACACAACAACGGCATGAGCGGCGTATTCATGATTTCAGAATACCGTACGATAGAAACTACAGGCAACTTATAAAAGGACTAAACTCGATCTCCTTGGCCATCATTCACTTCGGCATCCTCTATCTTCTCAATCGAGGGCTCGTCATCAGGAGCTGCAATAGGGAGTCCATCATGGGGACCAATCACCTTATCGGCGAAGAACCTGTGTTGCCTTGCTGCATATCTGATAGAAAAACCATAAAAACTCTTCTCCTTCACTATAATGTTACACTGAAGGGGACTGACAACTACTGCTTTGACCTTGGCATAGACAGGCGTTCACCACCCGTTCGGCACGCTTCCTCAGACTCCACGGGACGAGGTAGTCGATGATGCCAATAAAGTACTTGTATCTATCAACACCGCAAGACCAATACATGCCTTCCCAAACACCAGTATACAGTGTTAGAACTTATGTTCGCTTCCCTCAGCTGAGCTTAGGAGTTTTTTCGTTAATTATATGAGTTAACATACGAATTCGAGTAGACTTGTATGGAAACCAACGAAATTCCCTCACAATTTGCCACTAACACATGTGGCCGGCCATGTGCGCCATTGCCTAGACGGTACATTCAAGCGAGATGGTGACTATTGATCGGCGTCCCCCAGGAAGTTACCTCTGAGCGACGGGAGCGTCGAAGAGA